TATATCAGGGATATTTTTATATTTGAGCTATTTACTTTAACTGTAGTACTTTAACTTGTTTGCTTTTTTTGTCATGGAGCAACAGTGACCACATACTTTCCTCTGGGATTAATAAAGTATTCTGATTATGATGTTCAGTAGTTAACCCCTTTACTGTCATGACAGGTGCTAGAAAAATGCTTACATGCTTTTATCTACTTTCTTAGGGACACTGACATGGAAGAAAGTGTATTTGTAGAATTTAATTAAACTAATTACACTTTAAAAAAATCCAAAAAATATGAATGAGAATGAAGAACAGAAACTAATAGTTACCCAGTCCTCATTCAGTCCTCATTGCTGATTAATTCATCGACTCATTAGGACAAAGCTGGCACGGTGAAAGGTTTTCAGAGTTCTTCTCATGTCTTCCTGGATAACAAAGCTCATCGTGGAGCTGCGGTCAGATGAAGTGGGTCAGCTCAGCAGCGTATTTATAGCTCGGATTGCACTGCTGTCCGTGCTGTCTCTGGACCCAGCAGGAAATGATGCAATGAAATACAAACTGTACTACAAGTGGCCACTAATGCACCTCCACTGTCGGGCCACGGGTCAATTCAGAGTCACTGTCAGTTCACTTTCCATCCAACTGAAGCAGCCAAGCATTTCATTCCAAATTCAGAGGCGTACATTACCACAGTGTTTAAACAGGCTGTGGCACACGAACTAAAAGCCACATCAATAACTAATAATCAGCTCGGAGTCACGACAGCTGGAAAAGCTGCAGAAGATTTGCATTTGGTGCTCAGATCTTAAATATCCAAAGTTTTGGAGATATGTTGTTTTATAAAGTAAGGATGTTTGGTAAGGCTTCAAGAATGGGAAACACATTTTTGGAATCTATTAGGATGTAATTGTGATTTTTTACATGTACGGGTTTCAGATAGTCCTATTCTAAATACAGATTTTTCTTTCCAGGTGAGAAGCTCTTTACCTTACATTATAAATTACCCTGAGGCAACTGTTGTTGTGGTTTGATGCCATATAAATTGAAGTGAGATTTTGCAGACTGACTCACTTTGATGGTCTGTGCCTCTCAGTTCATCCTCTGCCTCCCTTTAAATCCAGCTTTCCTCTGATTGGCCTCCTCTTGCAAACAGAGGTTTGAACAGCAGTGTATTCACAGAACTTTGTGTCTGATAATCATATGAAGAGTTTTTACCAGTGCCTGAGGCAACTGTTTGTTTGTTTTTAAATATGATGCTATATAAATAAAATTGAATTGAACTGAACTTGTACAGACGCTGACCTCATCATTAGAAACTTCCTCACCGCCATTATGAGAGAACTAATATGACAGAAAATAACAGAAAGCATAATAGGCCCCTTGTTGTTTAGCTTTAAGCTCTGAGTTAGGAATGCTCCCCTGCAGTAAAATGCTGAGTATATTTTCAGGCCTCGCAGTGGGAAGTTTAATGACTTGGACTTTTTGCCACAGTTGTAGGTAACGAACACAGCTCATCTTCATTTCAATAAATGCAGGAGCGTTTATGTCCCAAGCTGCACTGACATTTACTATATCTGTCAAGACCAATATTTTCAGCTGGGTCACCACTGTGATCCTCATGGCAGCAGGAGAGCCGTTTGGTGCCTGTTTGTCTTTCTTTGATGTGCCGTAGCTGTTCGCTTTGGTTTTTAGCGCAGTCCATCATCGTCTGTGTGTTCAGCGTTATTGACTGTTTGCTCTGGACTCATTGTATGTCTGTGGGCTCAAGGCTGTGCTGGGGATTTGGCATTATGCAGAGAGCATCTAATGAGCATGATGAACTTAATAAGGTAAAGAACTGAACTGCAAAATCAATGGGAGCTGGTTAAGTGAATCACAGCATTTGAGTAACAACTTCATGAAAAGAAAAAAGCATGTTACTTGTAGCCAGGCGTTAAATTCACAGATTGTAAAGTTTTAATCAGTTTTAGTCAGTTTTTAATTAAAATAGATAAAACGAAATGAAATCAAATGAGGATAAATTTAATTTGATTTGAATATGTGGTGTGGACGGGAGCTGCTTTATGCCAGCAGGGATAACCTCCAAAGGACCAAAGGTGATTTTTAAGATATTTGATTTAATCATTTATTAGTGTGAGCTACCTCTTTGTTAAAATGAACAACAACAACAAAGAATCTGCCTGTCAGCTTTTTCTCACACGGGTACATTGTTTTTGTAGATTAGAATCACAAATGAACGTGTTTTGTTACCAAATTTGTTTAAACTAGAGTAAAAGATGTGCTCTCAGGCCATCGACAGCTCAGACTTACATGTGAGTACGTACGCTGTGGCTTTTCGTACACTTCAGCCATGCTCTGGTTCTTTCGTCAGATTTCCTTGTAACACATGACAGCCTGCGTTCATGGCATAATGACTCGTGATGGCTGCTTTTCATCTGTGTTTGAGAAACATCATGTTTGGGTGAAAGTGCACCAACTTGTGATTTTAGCTCTGTAATTCTTTTATGGTGATGTGGCTAAGGAGCTTGGAAAGAAAAGCGTCCGGACTACTGTAAATTTCTTGAAGACATTTCATCTGAGAAGCTTCTTCAGTTCTTAGAGCAACTGGTGGAGAGTCCCAGATTTTAAGCATTTTGGACAGAGAACACAGATGGTTTGAAAGAGGAGTGAAAGAAGCCATTTATCTCCACTGTGAATGACCATCTTTGAACAGAGGGCGGGGCTTATGACACTGACTCTCTGCCATCTATAATCCAGTTTTGAGATCTCTTCCCAGATGCCTTAATGCCCACTCACATCCTGGGCCATTTGACCTCAGTAAATTACATGATAGGGTGGGACTAGGCTTCACTGTGGATTCACCCGAAACTTGGCTGATTGTGACCTACACCCGTTTTCACACCTTGGCTCATGTAGAGGTAGAGGATCAATCCATGACCCTATTGGGGGGGCATTCCCATAGGGCTTAAAATCTGGGACTCTCCACCATTTGCTCATGGAACTGAAGGAGCTTCTCAGATGAAATATCCTCAAGCAACTTAAAGAAGTCCAGATGCCTTACTTTCCAAGCTCCTTAGACAACGATGACCTGGATGACTAAGAACCTTCACAGACATGTCTGTCAGTTAAAGGTTTGAATGGGAGGGTTTATGTCATCTTTGGGGTTAATCGGGTCTTTTTTGGATCATTTACATGAAATGTAACTGTTTGTTTGTTTGTAACACTGCCAGGCTGCATAAATCTGTTGGGATCCACCATTCCTCTCTTGCTGACCATGTCTACCTTTCTCTCTTCTAGCTTGGCAGCATCCAAAGAAGCTGCAGCGAGGAAAGCTGCCTCCCCGATGCCACCGTCCGAATTTCTGGACAAGCTCATGGGCAAGGTTTCGGGGTACGATGCCAGAATCCGACCAAATTTTAAAGGTAGGCGTTGCCACCAAGACTCAGTCGGATAAAACAGGAATGTAGCCAAACGTACCCTGAAAAGACCTGCGCTATGTCTGCATTTTATTACCTTTTCTAAATGCCTGTTTAGCCAAGAATGTCGCCAAAGAAAAAAAGGTTTGTATTTATTAGCTTCACTGAAAAAAGGAAAATAACATGTTTAGACATCGATGTTGCTGAAACTTTGTTGCTGTATATTTAATCACTTCAATGTCTTTGTCTGTTCTCAATTTGTCGATCTCTGTATTTGCCCTTTGCAGTGTGGAACAAAGGTAATTCTTCCCACGGCTCAGTTTAGGTGTCAGACCCCAAACCCCCTCCCACCCACCTTTTTTTCCCCTAACACAAGTCCAGCCTTGCACTTTTACCCACAATCATATGGTAAGACGACAAAATCCCCAGTAAAGACTAAGCTAGTTGGCTACATTCCTTGGTATCCACACAGTATCCTGAGTGCTTGTTTTGGTGGTCAAGGTAATGTGCCTCTCTCCCATGAGTGTGCTGCTGACCATGACTTCATGATGATGATGATGACGATATAGTTTTAAGTGACCTCCCTGAATGGAAGCCCCCATAAAGACACATGTCAGAGGTTTCTACTTTAAACCTTCTTGCATTAGGAACACAGACTGGACATGAGAGAACTGGGGCAGCCCTCCGTATCCACCAAAGTCTATGACTAATGCAATGGGTTAAAAATACATTTACAGCATCTTTAAGCATCTGAACAGACAGACAAACTGATTTCCCCTCGTGCTTTTCTGACATTTAAGCCTTGCTGCATGTTTAAAACTGCCAGAACTGAGATTTTATAAAGTGGATGTGAGAAATTTCTAATGTCTTCCGTTTAGTTTGTCGGGTCATGTGTACAAAATATTGGTACCCCGGTGATATTCCAGCTTTTATCAACACGTCTTCTTTAAGTATTAACCTTTAATCACCTGTTACAACATGTGCCTTACTTGTTTGTTTTTTTTTATATACGGCTGCCAAAGCATTGCTATCCTTGGCACCTTGCAGTCCAGACAGTAAATCTTGTCCTACTGTCGTCACTTAAAGGATAAAGATTGGTTCAAATGTTAGTGAGAGGTACGCTCAGTTCCCCTCCAAGTCTGATCAGAAGCAGATCAGTGGGATGTGTAAGGAGTTCGAGTCTTACCTGGCAGCAGTTTGGTCTGCAGGAGGTTTAACATGAACCTCAAAAGCACACGGGAACTCATCCACCAATCACTGCACGTTTTAGGCGCTGTCCAAGTTTTAGTGAAAAGTGAACCTTTTCAGGTTATTATCAAGATTTGCCAAACCATTAATTCATAATTATAAATATCTAAATGGCCCTTACACTTGGCTCGATTTGATCTGATCTGTTTCATGTAAAATGGTTGTGATCAGATCAGTGTGTGTGTGTGTGTGTGTGTGTGTGTGTGTGTGTGTGTGTGTGTGTGTGTACAGAGCTTCACAAACGTATGAGACCATTTGTCAAATATTTTAGAAATGTAAAATAAAAATAACTAAAACTCATTTTTACTGTTCAGGGATGCAAAATAATAATGTGCTTCACTGCTTTTTCATAAAACTGTAAACTTTAAAATTCATGGATAAGATATTACATGATTATATTTTTAATTAAAGAGCTTGTGCATTCGGATTAACGAGAAACATTAAAAAACAGGAAGCTCTCAGAGAGCTTCCCCCTCTGAGACGGCTCTAATGTATTTCTTTCTTCTTTTTAAACATACTTTAATAAACCCACGGAAACACATTTTAATACTAAAATTTTTGTATATTTTTTCATTTATATGAATATAGTACATGTGTAGTATTTATTTTATGATTTATTCATATTTTAAATGTTTTGTAATAAACACCAAGTGTATTTTGGTTTATAATAAAAAATATATTAATAAGATAAAGCATCGTCCTAGTATAAGAATTGTGGTTATGACCTGTTAGATGAAAAATATACATAAAAAAGTCCTAATAAAATAAATGTTTCCAACACAAACAAGATTGACATTGAAAAGATGGGAGCAAGAAACATAGTTTTAAATATCTCCATAAATCATTATTATAACTTTGACCTTCACATCAGTTTGTTGACCTTGAAGGAGAGGTCAGAGGTCAAATGTGACGCGATGTCTTAAAACTTTAGATGTAGATGAGAATATTTTAAGTTATTAGACTTTTTGTCAGTTTCCCACCAATAAATCATGAAGCTGACCTTGAAAATGTGTTTTTTAACATGAGACTTTTATCCGAATTCATTCTAGACAGAAACACAAAAACGCTGCGGCACACAGAACCTGCTTGGTCCATTCAGGTCAGCCGTGGCATAAACCACTAATTTGTTGGTGGTCTAATATATTTGTTAAGCACTCTGCTTGTGTGTGTGTGTGTGTGTAATATAGTAAGTGGCATGTTATCTGCTGGGGTAGAAAGAAGGTTTGCCTTCGTCTTTTCAATAACCTGAAAAGATTTCTGCCGTTCACTTCTCACCCAGATGTTTTCTGGGATCTCTGGCGGTGATCAAACCTGGAGGGATGACGTACATTACCTAACGCTGCCTGCGTCAGGTCAGCATGCGATGCTATTTGTCTGCTGCTCTGCATCTGCCCGTCGTCTCTAAATCAAAAACAGGTGAAACTTAAAGGTGTTGCTAATATTTTGTACACTGAGCACACAGGTACGCAGAATGTGCACAAGTGAATCACAGCTTTGTTTCTGAATGCTGCCATGGAGCTTCTCTCTTCTTCTGTTTTTTCTTTGCTGAGCCCATAATGGTACAACCCATTATATGGTGAGCAGGATATCTCGGTTCATGCAGGACAGAGTTGAGAGGAGCGGAGGGTTTTCGCTGTGACTAAGTGCGCATTATTAAACCTGCCGTGGCTACAGAATGGCCGACCTGCCGAGAGTTTGCTCAGGTGTTTGTCGCGAGTCGATTTTGGAGATCATTTCTGTTTTTTAAATTTGATTTCTCCTCAGCTCTGCTCGGCAACACTCCCGCACGATTTACTGAAGCTAGCACTGCACTGACCTTTACAAATCAGGATTTAAACAGGCCTGTGTGGCAGTTATTTGAATTTATAGCTTTAATCTTTTTTTCCTTCTTCTAATGCGATGTAATAAAAAATTTTAATGCAGATGAAATTACTCTCCGGCGCTGTGCCGCACACGCACAGAATAATAAGAGTCCCAATGTCCCCTGTAACACAGACACGTTTGTTTAAATGAGCTCAGATGTCAGATACTTTCTGTTTTGGGGTAAATTTGTAACGAGCGCAGATCTGTAATGAAGATACGTATGGACGAGGAGGAGGAGCCCATCTTTTATATAATGTGCTCAGCTAATTGTGTCAGGGGCCATCGTTAGCAGACAGCCCGACATGAACTTCCAGATTCTGTCATGGTTGTCAGGTCGACAGAGTAACACAGCGTGATCTCTCCGACTTGCTCATTCATGCAGTCTTTTGTGTGTAAGTGTGTGTGTTTGTGTGCGTCCCCTACCAGCCGACTACACCCCTGCATTAATCACACCCATGAAATAAACAGCTTGACAGCTCGGCGGCCTCGTAAACTCGGGGGGAAAGAAACAACAACAAAAAAAATATGTACTTGCACAGTAGGGGAGTAAGGCAGGGAGCAAAAAAAGGAAGAACTAGAATAGCATGGGGGTATTATAATAAAAATAATCATCACCATAACATGCTAAGTGGGAACACTTTAATAAGTGACGTGTCTGTAATGATGTGACATTCAGCACACGGATCGCTCGAACGTGTTTCCTTAGAAGCTTTTTAAGGAAGGGATCCTTCAACTAGCATGCTTCTCTGCTGCTGTAGTGGAAACGTCACCGTCACCTGTGCACATTCTCCAACACGGTGAAGACACACTGATAACTGTGTATTACCCTGAGAACACACCGGGCGCGTCACACAGTTTCATTTTGTCTTTTGCACAATTTCCAATTTAGACCAGAACAAAGTTGTTGTTTTTTTAACTAAAACCAGCAGAAGTGAACACATGCAGAGCCCCAAAGCTACGAAACAAGCTGCCCGAGGAAGTCGGGTCAGTGCCTGGGGCAACTATGGCTCAGGAAGCAGAGTGGGGTGGCCACCATTTGAAAGGTCAGTGGTTCAAACCCCGGGACCATCCAGGTGACATCGGGCGGTCAACACAGTCAACCCCAAACTGCCCCTGAAGCATCCATCAGAGTGAGAGCGAGAAGGATTTGTGTGGTGCAGGATGGATGGACGAGCCTTGTAGTGTGAAGCACTTGGAGTGGAAACAAACTAGATTTAGCTTCACTGTTATATTATTTATATAAATCCATTTTGGTGTCGTTTTGGTGTCTTTTTTTAATATTGACCTGCTTTTCAAATATCTTTTTGTTTCTTGTTGTGTACCACCGTTATTTTACTGGATGGAACGCCTCCCACGTGCTGTTTGAGATATTCTGTCTACAGTAAAACTAATGTCTATTTTATGATGGGGAACATAGCAAATGTAAATCTAAATTCACAACAAACTGAGTGTATTGCACTCTGGATGGCGTTACCTTAGTCTCCAGTAACACTGTGAGGAATCCCAGGATATGTCCTTCAGTGCACATATTAAACAAATATGTAGGACTGTTTTCTTCCATTTGTGCAACATCTCTAAAATGAGAAACATCCTGTCTCAGAGTGACGCTGAAAAACTAGTTCATGCATTTATTACTCCTAGGCTGGACTACTGCGATTTCTTAGTATTTACAGGGATAAAAAAAGAGATATTTATCTTCCCTTTGTTGACCTTGCTGATCTTGGTTGTTTCCAGAAATACATTTAAATTCCTTTTCATGTGCAAAGTCCTGAAAGCACCATATCCCTTCAGAGCCTTCAGTTTTCAGGCCCCTCTTCTGTGGAACCAGCTTCCAGTTTGGATTCAGGAGACAGACACTATCTCTACTTTAAAGATTAGGCTTCAAACCTTCTTTTTTGCTAAAGCACATAGTTAGGGCTGGATCAAGTGACCCTGAATCCTCCCTTAGTTATGCTGCAAAAGGCGTAGGCTGCTGGGGAATTCCCATGATGCACTGGGTGTTTCTTCTTCATTCACCACTGCTGCATGTCATAAATAGTCTTTTGCCTAATTTTTTTCTTGTGTTTTTGTTTGTGAGCTCCCTGTGCTCCTCTTTTTCCCTCCTACACATCATTCATGCTCATCCAATTAGCACCAGCCCTGCTAATTTTGCCACAGTAGATGGAGGGCGGGAGGGGACAGGATGGAGAAGTGATGAGATCTGCCCCAAGCTATGACTATGGCAGCACGAGAAGAAATTCCAGTGATCCGGTGCAGGGGTCCAGTGTATGGGCAAAAAGCTTCCGGTTGATTTAGTTTAGTTCCTCTGCTGGAGAGAGGAAAGCAAGCACTCGTGACACATTCAGGACGAGCTGTTTATAATCCATGACTTCATCCTACGTTCATTTCTCTTTTCCTGCTTTCTCAGTTTTTACAGTGTTTCATCCAAACCTCATATCTGTCTTTGCCTTTTCTTTATTTCTGTCTGCTGCTTATAGCTGCGTTCTTAATTTTTGCTTCCTTATTAGTTTCCTTGCTCATCACACATCATTTGGTCTTATTTATTTCTGCATAGTGATCAGATCTTTTATTTTATTCTCTTATATTTTAATCTTCATTTTTCTTCCCTCTTCCTTTTATTTTCCTCCTCTCTTCCTGCATATCCATTTTCCTTATCGGTGGTTGAAAGACAAGTTCATTAATAAAGAAATTGTCCCCTTTTTATCTGTTTAGCCCTCCTTTATTTTAGCATCTGGCTCTTGAAACATTTGCTCAGGTGAGCAGGTAGCAGGTGAGGTCATACAGGAGGTTTTTTTACTTCCTCAGACAGCAGCACCGAGCCCTTCTGATGCACTACCCCGGTAATGAATGGCCACACAGCGCTGTGGAGATAAAGGAGTGTGTATGAGAGGGAGAGATGGGGGGTTAGCGAGGGAACCAATGAGGGAGAGGAGGGTTTGTGTAATTCTTCTTGTGTCCAAGTGTGTGTCTTCGTGCACGCTTGATGAATGGCGCCGACTACAACTGCGACTCTCCTCTCCCTCTCCGCCATAACCTTGTCCTTCCTCATCACTCAAGCCGAGCAGCAGCAAGGCCAATGACTCGGACCAAGCTCCTGGTTTCAGTCTCGACCTGAACAGGCCACTGGCGAACCAAACTCCCCACCCTCCGACCCCCCCGTGTTTGCAAGGCAGGGCTTTTTGCCTGAGAAGACACTGAGTGTGTCACCAGCTTTAAAATCTGTGCTTCAGCAGGTTTTCATCTTCTGCACTCTTGAGCGGCCCCCGTTGTTGCTTCATAGCTCGTGTTTGCTCCTTGAAACAGTCCTTTTATTTTGTTTGGCAAGTTCCCTCCTCCTGATATCAAAGACCTCTCACTGAAAAATCATCACTGCGTCACTTTGCTTCGGTGGACCTGAGTAAATATGCACAGAGGACGAGAGATTCTTTTCCTTCTCCTTCTCACTTTGTCCTTGCACAGCTGGAGGAGCTGTTGCTGCACAAAGCTACACAACTCTTTGCTTCTCTTGTGTTGTGCGACTCCCTCCTCCTCCTTCTCTCCTTGCTGGAGTTGAACGTGCCGAGGTGGGACTTTAGTTATTAGCTGTCGGAGCTTGACGTTCATTTGGTGTTATCAGCACTTGTTTAATGGCTACTTAATGGGATTAATGGGCATAAGGTAATGAGCGTAGGATGGAGGAATGGCTGCGGGGGGAAAATGGATGGGAGAGTGAGTGGGGGGAGAGAAAGACAAAGAGAAAGACACAAATGGCCGACCAAGTTGGAGGGATTTGCCCACGATGGGAGATTAGGAAGAAGTGCAGGTGGCAGAAGTGAAATGCAGGGTGTCGCACTGCACACAGAACAGATTTGTGCTCGCTTAGAGCTGGAACGCTGATGCTAACACAGTTCCCAGCGGACCCAGTGTTCCTCAGTTATGTATTACACTTGCAGCAGTCTTGAATAAGCAGCTCTGGGACACAAACTACAATATCTACACCCTCCTCTTTTTTTCTCAACTCTACAAGGATGCAAGCGCTGAAATCTGCTCGGGTGAGTGGGCATTCTCGCCCAGAGGAAGGTCTTGTGGCTCTCTTAGTATTCAAGGTAACGGCCCTCTCCTTTCCAAGCCAGGAAATTTGGATGAGGGATATATTGCAAGGAGAGAGGAATTTTAATGTCGTCACAGAGGTGACTCTCCCCAGAGTTATGACAAAAATATTGATCACAGTTGAGCGTCTAGCAGGAGGAGGCAGAACGGCAAGGGCAGCGAAGAGAGGAATATTGAATAGGATGGTGAGGGCACCAAAACGGACCGAGAGGAGTCTAAGAGGTGGAGGAAAGAGGCGAATGAGAGTGCTCGTATTAATTTCTGCAGTCAAAAGTTTAAATCTGTTCATTATTGTGAGCCGAACAGGAAATGATCAAGCTGGTAATTAGAGCACTGTCAAATGAGCCATGTTGTCGAAATGAATGAATTCCCCTCCTTTTCTGTTTGCTTTAAATAGCTCACATAGTTATTGTTTCCTCTTGATCCTCAGATAGCAAAAACCTTTAGCTTCAGGCTGCACACAGCCACTCTGAGATGTGTAAAAGGAGTTGATGGGTACATTACTCTGTCTTCCTCCCTCTGCAGTCCACCGGTCCGTGGCTAATAAGTTTATAAGGAGGGGAATACTGCCTTATAAAGGGCCATTCGGTCCTCCTGCGCCATCCCGTCGCACCTCTAATTACTAGCCAGAGGAAAAAAGGTTTAAGCCCACCAAATCCATTTAAATAGCCTGATGGAGAGGTTGGCGTGTAATTGTTCACTTCCGCCACACAATCAGGCCGCGGGCTGCTGTTCTCGGGCTTTACGTGGCAGATGCGTCCAACATTTGGCTGATGGAGGGACCCTGGGGTATAAGTAGAGAGAAAAGCATTCGGGGGAAACCCTGTATTTGTCTGACAAAGCATCTTTGCTTCGAACGCAGAGGCGAGCTTTTTTCTTTTCCTCTGGTTTCATTTCTGTACCTTTGCTGCAAAGCCAGGAGAATTGATTGTGCACAGTGCTAGTAATTAGCTTGCGTTACGAGATCCCCTCTGCTGGAAAAGCAAAAGTCCAAAAAAACCAAAGCTGCTGTGGTATTAATGCCAGGATCAGGTCCTCAGATGTTCGACAGGCCGCCTGGCCGCGAGGCTAAGCCCAGGCTTAGTCCTGACACGGAGAGACTGTCGTGCACAGAGGAGGGAGGAAAAATTGCCTTTGGTGGATTCGGGCAGATTATAGAGTTTAAGTCACCTGTCTACAACAGTTCATGGTCACGACGAATACTTTCCATCTATCTTAGAAGCCGTTTCCCTTTTTTTTCCAGGCTGACAGTGACAGATTACAATATCGCTTGCAGACTTCTACTGGGTGTAGTTGCCATCCTTCACATTGGCAGTTGTCAAGTACAGCAAAGCAGGATGGGCCCGGTTTTCTCAGTTCAGTGCAGTTCGAAGACAAAATAGGACATCGATCAACAAACATGAGCTACGAAAGGAAGACAGTCTCCTCGGCGTGTATCGATAGGACATTTGGTTGGCCTCTGTTCTTAATTCTGAGTAACTGGAAGAGAAAATTTTAATAGCTTGAAAAGAAATGTGTTTGCTGTTGAGTGCATGAGAACCGTTTAATACCTGAAGGTCGACTCTGACGTTATGTCTGATTTGGAAGTCTTTGATTTGCAGAAAATTAGACGGCTTGGTGTTAAATCACAGTTTAGCTGATGGCTGTGAGCATGTGCTGATGAAGAAAATCTCTACTTTGTTTCCTTTCTTAAACTTTTTTAGACCAATCCGATGAGCCGCTGACGTTCAGTGGCACATCGGGCTAAGTCTTTATCTTTCCAAGGGCGAACGGGGGAAAGACCTCAGAGCAATGAATCGTTTGTCTTTAACTTCTGATTCCTTGACATTAGCAGGTTGGCATTTTTCCACTATCAATCAGCCTTGTGCAGACTAAAAGTTCTCTTTCTCAGCTACGATATAATGTGGCCCGTTTGTGAGAGGCTGTTACTTTCTTGGGGGGTTGAAGTAGGACCTTTTGTCATCCAGATGGGCTCCATTTCAGCCAAATGACTTCATATTAATAGGAAGAATTGGAATTACATCTCAGATTGGCGATCATTTATCCGTTCCTTTGGGGTTAGTGCCATTTCTGTTGCCAGTCGAAATATCAATGGGGACCGAGAATCGGCTGCTTTGTTTTATTTGAGTTGTTGTGAAATGTGTAAGTCACCGTCTACCCTTTGCCCAAAATGACCGAGGTCAAAACAGTCCAGATAAGGGGAAAATCTAAATGAAGCCAGTTTGACATGTAGTCTTTGCACCTCCCTGCCCTCCTCCTCTTCCTCCTCTTTCTCTCTGGCCTCTTGCATCTCCTGTAGTGCATTTTGCTAGTTTTACTTCAGCTCCTCTTGACAGAACTGCATTGCAACTCTCCTCTTCATCTCAGCGCATCGCCTCTCCTGTCCTGCCCGCTGCAGTATGGCAGTAGATTGTTTCTCTACAGTCTCATGCATCCCTCCTTCCTGCTATTGCCTTCACAGTATGTTGCCCCCCTCCTCCCGCCCCTCCCCAAGTCTCCCCCGCTGCCACACACTCACCCCGGCCGAGTGTTGGCAGAGTGTTGCGACACCGTAGATAATCGAGCCTTGCTGTCTTGTTCGCTCCTTGATAGACAACGCGGTTGTTTTCCTTAACGAGGACAAACAACGTGTAGTTGGTAACGTGTTGTTAGTATATGCTGTGTTTAATTCTCATCTTTTTTTTATTAGACCCCAAAGGCTCCAAAAATGAAGCTACTCACAAGAAAGGTACTTTCCCTTTTCCTGTTTCTTTTTCCCTTTTTTCTATTTTCTACTTCTGCTCTTCCCTCACCACCGTTTGTGATCATTTGTCTTTAATGCAACGACGAGGCATTTTCCAGATGTTGACACCATTAGGAACATGAGGGAAATGCTTTTTGGTTAAAATGTTTTGCTGGAGGTTTTACCAGAAAATGTCTAGAAATAACTAAGAAAACTGCATTTCAGTATATTTGAAATATTTTAGGCGTGCACTTTTGACCTGACAGATGTTTTTCCTTTAGTGTCAGCCATGATTGTTTGCAGACGGTTGTGTCTGGCAATAGAAAACCTTTTTTTTCCCTCCCTGACACAGACAAATGTAGACACTTTGGTGATCACACCAGCAAACCTGTCTTTCGCCTAGTGTTTAAACTGCATTCATCACAGCACTATAAGAACAGTTTGTACTAAATGACAAAGACATGGAGCCACTCAAAAAATGGACTTTGTCTGAGACAAGAAAACTGTCAGTTTTTAATATTATGTGAGCTTTCAAACTTGTGTTTTCATATCAGTGAACTTGACGTTCTGGTTCATTCAGAGATACACAACCAGCATTAAAATTTCACACAGAACATTTTTAAAGTGTTTTTCCAAACTCAGCTATAAGAATGATTTATTTTGTCATCCTTGTGACTCATTTAATGGCACATGAAGTAGGGTGTGTAGCAGTGTTGTATTCTACCCGCCGTCCTTATGTAATGCAGGAATGTGCAGTACTGCACAGCAGCCTGTGTCCTGGTAATTTTCTGACATTATGTTGTTTTTACAGAGGTTTATGTCAATTGTAAAATTCATTATCAGAAAAACAGTTCCTTCATTTTACAGATTTTTTATTGTGTACCTTTAGTGTGCAGAAAATAAAAAGCAAAATGAAGTCTAGAGTAGAGCACGGACTACAACAGCTTTGTAACCTTTCTCCCCATTTGCCCTGCGTTAAAGGATCGCTCTCATCTCATTTGTCCTCCTAGCTGAAGATGCTAATTCTGGTAGCACAGCAGGCCCTTTAACACAGTGGCTCCTGTCAGTTGTAACTAATATCTGCGTGGCCCTAATTTGCATGCACAGACTCTAAGCGGTGATAGAAAGCCACATACACAATCCGCTCACAGGGTCCGTCCTACAAATTACTGCTGCAGGACTTTCCAGACAATTACAGTTGGCGGTGGAGCAAACAGCAGAGGTTACGCACTGGGTAATCTTATTGCTCGATGCTGCCAGACGGAGTCTGCAGAGTGCAGCGCAGGTTAAAGAAACGTCATTATTTTCAGCTGGATATTCCTGATCGCTATAGCAACAAGACCGAGGAAATAAGGCCGAGGTCCTATTCCTCCAAAAAGTTAACCGGCCATCTAACGATGAGCGCGGCAAAACACGACCTCGGCAGTGGACAGCAGATGCGACCCTCTTGCGTCTGATTTCTCTGGGTGAATAACGCCATTGAGAGAGACGCCATTTGCAGACTAAAGACCCCAATTACCTCCTTCCAGTACTGTCAGCGTCACAGGAGACAGCGTTTATATTAGCAGGCAGCAGCCTGTCTGCCTCCGGGCTGCTGAGATGCATAACTTACACTCTGGCTTGGTGCTAAAAATAAATAAAATGAATATAAAAAAGTGCAGAGCTGATAAGAAATCATTTCTCTTTTTATTGTTCAAATAGCAGGAGAAAAATTCCAGTTCACAGACGTGCTGGACAGGAAATCAAAGAATGTAGGTTGGACATTAACTTGGGTCCGAGCTGCAGTCATATTTTAATGTCTTATTCATGCTGCAGCTGCTTCGTTTGTAATTTTTGTGAGTCAGCCATGAGCTGCTTGCCCACTTCAGTCTCTAGATGATGGGATTTCCCCCTTTTTGGACCCACAGACCCTCCTCCACCTGTAGGTTATCCTTCATTTTAATCGCTAATCAACATAAAGCAGCACGGTCATGTAGCAGACCTACAGCAGTGCTGTGAAGACATGTCGTGCATTTTTGCTACAAAGGCGTATGTAGTGGTGATTTTTTTGGCTGCAGACAGAATTGGTGGAAATGTCAGTTTTAGAAGAAAAATGACTAATGTCAAAGCGAGAGGAGAATATTAGAAGAACAGAAGAAAGGGATAGGATTGGAAGAATATGTCAGAGGAAAAATTTAATTATTTAGAAAGAGACACTAAATAATAAGTAGTAAAATAATATGATAGTAGGAGTGGACAGACTAAATGAAAGGAGAGCAAAGAGGAGGGAAGGAAAGGATGATTAGAGGAAGAGACAAGAATGCTATAGAAGAGACAGCAAAGAAGGAAGTCTGTGTACAAGGGAACAAAGAGGAGGTGATGACGGCAGAGGAAAGAAGGAGTCTAACAAAGCCGAGCACACGGAGGAGATGGAGGCGGAGGGGAAGACTAGAGACCAGATAGGATGGAGAAAGAGGAGGAAGATGGCGGTGGGGACGTTTTACTTCCAGCGTGTTCAGCAGAATCCAGTCAGCAGGTCGGGGCTCGTGCCTCTCCACGGCCACCATCAGATTGGAGGCTCTGCTCTGCTCCTTCTGTTGTGGGATGTTGAGTACATATTCCACAGGAGCCACCTCCTTGCAGATACTTTATGCAGATTACTGTTAGGCCAGGTTCTGGGCTCTCCGTCCTCCCACAGATTCAGTCCGTCTCCGCAGATTTACGTCCATGCGAGCGCCCGTTTTCACGGAGGACGGCTCGTAATATGATTGCACAGTGCTTCAGAGAGGTGACACTTTAATGTGACGACTGCAGGTCGGAGCATATTGCGGTTATTTAACTTTTTTATTGAGGGCAAAAAATTGCTGCTATGTAGATTTATGCTTATCCGAGTGGCCTGTCTTATGAAGAACACCTTTCTAATGTGATTGCACAGTGCTGCAGAAAGCCAACGCTGCAGAATGATTACTGCAGGCTGGAGCACAGCGCATCGTTTTACTGAACGTAAAGCTGAATATCCCCCTACACACAGTCGTTCCCATTCATGTGGCCTATTTTAAAGAGCATGGCATCACTGCACTGTGGTTTACAAAGAACACTTTAACTGCAGGGCTTTCCAAAACCACACGAATCACGAGTGCTTTGATCAAAATGACCAGAGATTCGTTTCACGGTTACAAAAGTTTTCTTTACGAGTCAGAAATCCTTTTAATGCTTTAAATCCATGTTAACCTTCAGAAGAACAACATACAGGCATGTATATTTGTGTGAAGCACTGAAAGTCTTATAAAGCAGACTATTGAAGTGTTGTATGATTTATTATCTCCATGTGAGGAAACAAAGAAGAACTTTGGTGTCTCCTTCTGTGGCCAAAGCAGCTCGTTTAATCTCTATTTAATATATTACCAGCTCCTGTGTTTGGTGTTCTGGGGTCATTTGAGTGAAAGTAATTTCAGACTTTGCAGGATCAGTCCGCCAGGGCCTCCGCTCTGGAGTAACTTATTCATGCTGCCAAAATAAAGTATTTCACAAGAAAAGCACCAGAGAGGAAAGCCTCAGATGATGAACATGAAGGACTGAAGCATTTTCTCTGTCACAGGCACTCATGTGAGAGCTCATAATATAGTTAATTACACACATAAAATTAACCCTAACTCTTTGTATATATTTTCACATATATTTCATATTTTTCTATCCAAGTATTAACATTAAGTAGTGAAAATATGCTTTTTTTGTGATAAATTAAATAATAAATAATGCAAGGAAACAGTTCTTTTTTTTTTTTTACTGCAGTTAAAACAATAAAAAAGAGTCAAAACATTTCTTTGATTTTAATGTTAACACAACGGCCTCCGTCTTTAATCCACACAGAAATAAAAAAAACCCACAATCTTAGTAAAACGTTCTGAATATGAAAAAAAAAAAACGTTTTAAAGGTGAAACCGTGATGGAAAAGTGTTTTTTAATAAAACTGAATCGACCTGTTTTAACAGTGTGTGTGTGTGTGCGCGCGCGTGTGTGTGTCCACTAATCTCAAATGACTATCTACATTTCCCTCAAGATGATTAAAAGCATCGAGCTAACGGCAGCACATCACGACACGCCATTAAATCACACGCCGATTTATTGAGGAGATGACCATCTCTGTCTTGCACGCACGCGCACACACACACACACACACACACTCTGCAAACACTCCATCTGCACGAGGGCAGCAAACAGGAAAGATCACGCACAGAACACACACAGGGACTGAAACACACACGTCACTGCTCACATTTTTATTTTCCTCCCTTTTTAATCTCTTTCACATTTTCATCGCTACCTCTCACTAATCCATTGATATAAAGCCCGAGTCACCTCGTCTCCGTCGCCATTGCAGACCTGCTATTGATTTCTGTCTCCCTGCGGGCAGCCGGCTGCCAGCCTGTCATGTTCTCCTGTCAGTCAAAAGCTGGCAAAGAAAGCCCTGAAAGGTCCAGCGACTCATTTACTGCAGACTTAATTCACTGTCTGCCTATAATTAGACAAGATGATACATTTTTTGGTAAAGCAATTAATGTCACATTTGGAGTGGGTCCCCTTGAAATCAGAGCGCCGTTAGGTGTGGAGGTGTTTCTCCTCCACCTTTTAAGACGGCTCCTGCATGAACTTTCTTCTTCGGGCGTCTTTGAGGTCGTCTTCAGCTGTGTGTCAAAGTGTGCAGCAGCCTCTTTCATTTGAATCAGGTCGTTAAATCAATGCAGCGGGGATGTTGCAGAGAAATCCAGTGAACGAGGATGACAGGCCAACATGACATCGTTTTGGTTTTATAATATATCCTCTAATGATTTCTGGGTGTTTGATCAAAAAAAAGAAGGCTTTCTGCAGTGATTACAAAAGCGTCTGCTTATTTCTGTGCATAGTTCTTATTGCTCTGCAAACTCTACTTTCCAACACACTGGTGCTCCCCCCTGTGCTGACTGCGGGACGTCACCGGTGACTCAAATGTTCAGAGGACAGACTGCAGGAGTGTGACTGAAATCATG